CTTAACTGCTTGCAATGGCCCATTCCTTGGACCGTAGTCAAGTAGAGATCTTGACTGAGTGCCCCAGATGACTGGCTGAAGCCCGACGCCTGAACTAGGTATGGACTCTGTCCATGACTGACTGCACTGGCAGCCTCTGACAACAATCCTCCTTAATTAATCCCCATATACTTTGAGGCACGGTCACTTATTTGAAGTATCATGCAGTGTGATTGCCACATAGACAGTGCTGTTGGAGAGAGATTGAGGTATCACTGTGCATACAGCAAAAAGTCCACACTGGATTAATCACTACTGACAAGCTGCCTCACTTCGAGTATGCAAGTAGATACTATAAACACCTCTGTTTAAGAAGGGAGGGAGGCAGACGATAGGAAATTATAGGCTGGTTACCGTGATCTCGGTTGTTGGTAAGATTTGCGAGTCTGTTGCTAAGAAGAGATTGTGGAGTACTTGATGTGCTTGATAAAATAGGGCTAAGTCCATTTGGCTTTGTCAAGGGACAGCTATGCTGACAAAGCTGTTGGAATTTTTTGAGGAGGCAATGAACAAGGTAGACAGAGGAGAACCTGTGGATGTGATCTATTTGGAAGTCTCCTGACAAGGTGCCACACAGGAGGCTGACCTGTGGCTCCCTCCCTTCTAAAAATTATGATGTTTACAGTAGCTCCTACAATCAGTGCACTGACCAATAAAAGGCAAGCATACCAAACACCTTCATTTTGCTGTCTACCTGGGACTCCACTTTCAAGGAATTATGAACCTGCACTCGAAGGTCTCTTTGTTCAGCAACACTCCCCAGGACATTACACAGGACCAACAGCTTAATGGTAAGTCCTGCCCTGATTTGCCTTTTTGAAATGTAGATGCCACATTTATCTAAATTAAACTCCATCTGCTATGCCTCGACCGATTGACCCATCTGATCTTTGGAAGTAGGAACTGAAGGCATTGTTGCCAAGTTTGCAGATGAAACAAAGACAGGTGGAGGAAGAGGTAGTGTTGAGAAATTGGAGAGGCTGCAGAAGGACTTGGCAGGTTAGGAGAATGGGCAAAGAAGTGGCAGATAGAAAGCGTGATGTTATGCACTTTGGCAGGAAGAATATAGGCATAGACTATTTTCTAAGTGGTGAAAGATTTTGGGAATCTGGGACTTGGGCGTCTTAGTTCAGCATTATTTTAACGTTAATATGCAGTTAGGAAGGCACTCATTTCTAGAGGGCTAGAATACAACAGCAGAGATGTACTGCTGATCGTGTAGAAGGCTCTGATCAGATTGCATTTGCAATACTGTGAGCAGTTTTCTAATGAAGGATGTGCTGGCTTTGGAGGGGTCCAGAAGAAGTTTTCAAGAACGATCCTTGAAATGAATGGCTTGTTATACAAGAAACAGTTGAGGACTTTGGATCTGTATTCGATGGAGTTTAGAAGGACAGAGGGTAATTTCATTGAAACTTACAGAATACTGAGAGGCCTGGATAGAGTGGACATGGAGAAGATGTTTCCATTAATAGGAGAGATTAGGACCCAAAGGCATAGGCTCAGAGTGAAGGAATGACCTTTTAGAATTGAGGTGGGGAGGAATTTTTTCAGCTGGAGGTTGGTGAGTCTGTGGAACACATTGCCACATAAGGCTGTGAAGGCCAAGTCATTGAGTGTATTTATGACAGAAATTGGTAGGTTCTTGATTAGTAAGGAGATCAAGGGTTACAGAAGCATAAAGGCCACAAACTGATCCACAGCTAAAATAAATTTCAGGTCATGACATTGGAGCATATAATAGCATTAGTGTGTTAGGGTAGATTTGGAGATATTGTTTCCCCGGGTGGAGTTTCTAAATCTACGTCTTAATTTCAGAATAAGAGGTGGATCATCTGTAAATGACATCTGGAAAAATTCATTTACTCTTAGGCCTGAATGTCTTTGGAATTCACAGTCCTGGATATTTGTGGATGCTCAATCATCAAATCTCTCTTACAAAAATTCCATAGACTATTTTAAAAGAATTGATAATCTTCAGAATCAACTCGTGTCTTTGACTGAACTATTGCAAAGTTAGCTCTCAAAATAAATTCGACAATTATATTTTTTTTGTATTAATTCAGGGTATGTGGGCTTCACTAGCTGAGCCAGTAGTTATTGCCCATCCCTTGGTGCCCTGGAGTTGGTGATGGTGAACTGCATCTTGAACCACTGTAATCCATTTGGTGTAGTAACACCAACTGTTAATGAGGGAGTACCAGGATTTTGACCCACCATCAGTGAACTAATACAACTGTACATCGTGTCACTATTTGATGTTTGGCAATGTACCACGTTTGATCACAGTCATCATCTGTTAAATCTCTGCTTCATAAATGCTTGCATTACTCCTCAAAGGCTATGACTCTATAAGGTTTAGCAGCACTCAAAGAAACATTTTCAAACCGATTGCAAAAAGTCAGCAACAAAAAACATGTAACTACGCTGTTACAGTTTGTACACTGGATGAACCAGATTTACACAAATTTTGGAGCCAAACTTTTAAAACAAGTCAATAAATGCACCCAAATCCCAGAGAGACTATAAAATTATTGGCCTATTTCCTTCATTAGCAATACTTGTTCAGCAGGAAATGGCTCCCTCTTGGTGCAAGAGCAGTTAATTACAGTAAAACAAAAATCAGCTTTGAAGATAAAAACAGGCATAGTTGAAAGTTTCCCAAACCAGTCCGAAAACAAGCACTTCAAATTAGAGACAAAAATGTCAGCACTAGTTGTCTGACGTTATAAAGCAGCAGTCTGACAATTAAAAATATTAGTGAGGCTACATAACACTTCTTTGGGCAAAATTATTCAATTATTATCATTGAATAATTTTCCATCTTGAACTCTCAGTCTTCAAAAGTGCATGCAAATGAATGTGAAGAGCACAGCAGACATTAAACTGCAGTTAATGAAGAAAAAACAACTTCAATAAAAATGCCAAATCAACACACTCACGCTGACATTTCTGTGATAGGTCCACTGCAGTGTCCCTTGCAAGGTGGAGGGACAGCACTTCATTTTTCGCTCAGGCACTTTACAGCACTCAAGGTTCAAGTTCAACAAATACAGAACTCTGTCCTTCATTTCCATTACCACCTCAGTGCCTTGCTTGCATGGGTTTGTTCTCTGTAGAGCTAAACGATTTTGTGCTATTAACTCCTACCATACCATGATTAGTCCTCCCTTTGCCCATTGCTCTGAGGCACATTTTATAATCTGGTCCACGTGCTGACTTCCCCCGTTTTCTCATATAAAACTCATGTTTTTACTCACTTCAGTCTTGAAGAGTCATTTTGGATTGAAACATTTATTCTGTCTATAGAGTCATACAGCAGGGAAACGGACCCTTTAGTCCAACTAATGCATGCCGAACATGCTCCCAAACTAGACTAATCCCACTTGCTTGCATTTGGCCCATATCCATCCAAACTTTTCCTATTCATGTACTTATTCAAATGTCTTAACTGTACCTGCATCCACCACTTCCTCTGGCAGTTTACTCCACACACTAACCACTCGGTGTAAAAACATTGCCCCCATGTCCTTTCTAAATCTTTCTCCTCTCATCTTAAAAATGTGCCCCCTTGTTTTGAACTCCCCTACCTTAGGAAAAAGGCATTTGCTATTCACCATAGCTATGCCCCACATGATTTTATAAACTCAAGAAGGTCACCCCTCAACCTCCTGTGATCCAGTGAAAGAAGTTACAGCCTATCCAGCCTATTTTTATAACTCTAATGCTCCATTCCCGGCAACAGACTGATAAAACTTTTCTGAACTCTCTCCAGTTTAATAATATCCTTCCTATAAGACCAGGACTGCACACAGTACTCCAGAAGAGGCCTCACCAACATCCTGCACAACCTCTCAACATGGCGGCCCAACTCCTATACTCAAAAGGTCTGAGCTGTGAAGCAAAGCATGCTAAAACACCTTAACCACCATGTATATACGTTACTTAAATTTCATAGAATTAGGTATCTGTACTCTTAGGTCTCTCTGTTCCAGAACTGCAGATGCTGGCAAACCTGCTGAGTTTTTTTCCCCATCACTTCCTGTTTCTATTTCAGTAAAAATGTCTATCTGTACCAGTGTAAAATGTACAGCAGGCAACAACTGAAGTTCAATATATGTCATTACAATCATACTGCCAAAACACTTTAATAGACATTTGTCGCAGGCTGTTTCCAAGAGGAACATGTAAAGTGAGAACATTTCTTGGTTAACTACTGAACGTCATTTCTGTTTTGAGAGTGCACAGCATAAAAGGGAGAAGATGTCAATGACAATGACCACTTTCTCATTAGAAAGAAATGCAATGCTCACTAAAATAAAGTTACTTAAATAGGTTTAAATTTCATATTAAATAGTTACTTTATTCACCAAGAAACAAAAAGATTGTTTTCACCATTGTACACAGGTGCTTAATCACATCCTCAGGGACAGGCTGTTCTGAGAACATTGGCTCACATCCTACCATGGCACATGACTAATTTTGAATTTAATAAAAAAAATCTGAAACAAAATGTTAGCCAAACAGTGACCATGCAACCACTACCACCATAAAAACCCAGTTTTTTAAGATTCCTCCATGGGATGTGGATATTGTTGGCTAGGCAAATGTTTATTGCTTACCCGTAGGTGCCCTTGAGGAGCTGGTGAGCCACCTTCTTCACCATTATGGAAGGACCTCCAAGATTTTGACTCAGCAATAGTGAAGGAACAGCAATGCATTTCCAAGTCTCAATGGGAAGGGAATCGTACAGGCACTAGTGTTCGCTCGTACCTACTACCCTTATCTTTCGAGATGGGTCATGGGTTTGGAAGGTGCTGTCTAAGGATCTTTGGTGAATTTCTGCAGTGCATCTTTGTAGATATTACACACTGCTGCTACTGAGTGTCTATGAGGGAGTGAATGAATGTTTGTGGATGTGGTGCCAATTGAGTGGGCTGCTTTGTCATGGATGGTGCCAAGCTTCTTGAGTGCTGCTGGAACTGCACTCATCCAGGCAAGTGAGGAGTATTCCATCGCATTCCTTACTCATGCCTTGTAGATGTTGGACAGGCTTTGGGGAAATCAGGAGAGGACTTACTCACCACAATATTCCTAAACTCTGACCTGGCTCTTGTAGCTGCTGTGTTTATGTGGAGAATCCAGTGAATTTCTGGTCAATGGTCACCCGCAGGATATAGATAGTGGGGGATTTCAGTAAAGGTAACACCACTGAAAGCCAAGAGGCAGTGGTTAGGTTCCCCTCTTATTAGAGATGGTTATTGGCAAGTACTTTTCTCACCACACAAATGCCAGTTAACTTTCAGCCAAACCTGGATATTGTCCAGGTCTTGCTGAATTTGGACATGGACTGCTTTATATCTGAGGGAGTTGCAAATGGCACTGAACATTGTGTAATCATCAGCACGTATCCCCACATCTGACCTTATTATGGAGGGAAGGTCACTGATGAAGCAGCTAAAGATGGTTGGGCCTAGGACACTACCTTGAGGGAACTTCTGCAGAGTCTTGGAGCTGAGATGACCGACTTCCAACAACCATAACTATTTTCTTTTTCGCCAGGTATGACTCCAATCAGCAGAGATTATCCCCACTGATTCACATCAACTCCAATTTTGTGAGGTCTCTTTGATGCCACACTCGGTCAAATGCAGCCTTGACGTCAAGGGCCATCACTCTCACCTCACCTTTGGAGTTTAGCTCTTTTATGATTGAACCAAGGCTACATGACGTCAGGAGCCGAATAGTCCTGACGGAATCCAACTGGGCATCAGTGAATAGGATACTGCTGAGCAGGTGCTGCTTGACACCATTGTTGATAACATCTCACATCATTTTACTGATGATCAAGAGGAGACTAATGAGGTGTTAGTTAGCTGGGTTGGAGTTGTCCTGCTTTGTGTATACTGGACATACCTGGGCAATGCAGATGCCCCTGGAACAGCTTGACCAGGAGCGCAACAAGTTCTGGAGCACAAGTCTTTGTAATATTGTCCGAATGCTGTCACAGCACATAGCATTTGAAGTATCCAAAGCCTCCAAACATTCTTGGTAGAGTGAAGTGAATTGGCTTATGACTAGTATCTGATGCTGGAGACCACTGGAGAAGGCCAAAATGGTTCTTCCACTTGACACTCTGGCTGAAGATTATTACAAATGCTTCAGCCTTCTCTTTTGCACTGATGTGCTAGGCTCTCCCATTATTTAGAATGGGGATATTTGGGAGCCTCCACCTCCAGTGAGTTGCTTGATTGTCTACCACTATTCACAATTATTGTGGCAGGATTGCACATCTTAGCTTTCATTTGTTAGTAGTGAGATCACTTATCTCTATCATTTGCTACTTATGCTGTTTGACACACGAATAGTCCTGTTTTGTAGTTTCAATAGTGTCTTTTAAGGGAGAAAATCTGCCATCCCTATCTTATCTGTTTACATGTGACTCTCAGACCTGTAATGATGTGTCTGAATCTTAACTGCCTTCTGATCAGCTAGGGACCGACATTAAATATTGGTCTGTATAGCGACACCCACCTCTCATAAAAGTAAGCTATAGGAGCCGTTTGGCCCACTGAGGATGCTCTGCCATTTGAACATGGCTGTAATGTTTCTCGACCCCATTCTCCTACCTTCTCCCTGTAACCCTCGATCCCCTTACTAATGAAGAATCTATCTAGCTCTGTCTTTACAGTCACTGACTTGGCTTCCACAGCCCTGTACAGCAATGAGTCCCACAGATTAACCTCCCTCTGGCTGAAGACATTTCTCCTAATCTCAATTCTAATGGGTCGTTGCTTCATTCTGGGGCTGTGCCCTTGGGTGCTAGTCTCTTATTCTAGTGGAAACACTTTCTCCACATCCAATCTATCCAGGCCTCCGAGTATTCTCTTGTTTAAATGAGATGCCCCTGCATCTTTCTAAACTCCATCGAGTACAGGCCCAGAGTCCTTAACGGCTCCTCATATCTAATGAGCAAAAAGAAAACGCATAACTATAATTTGCACAGAATTCCAGCTCAGAAAAGGTTCATAAACCTAATTTTCAGCTTCATGGTTTATACAGAATACTCACTTAGTTGTGTTTTCCTTTACGTAGCAGCATTTGCTAACTAAAGCATTAAGTTGAACAACTACAATTCAAACTCAAGTCTCCATACTGACTGCCCAGAACATGCCCTGTTTCTTGTGGAATTAAAATATTGTTGTATACTGCACAGAGATAGGGCATCACAAGTTAATTTTTGGTGAATGTATAATCAGTTCCAAGCAATTAAGAAAGGTACATGTACCGAAGTAAAGCAATTATCAACAAAACACAACTCTTCATCTCTTAATTAAAAAGCAAAATAAATCCCTTTCAGATATGTTTGAAATCAGCATCTCTCACTCATGAATTTCCTGAGTAACCTAAAAATGTAGTCAAGTTACTATTCTGTAAACATGAGCCTTGATGGCACGTTTTGGTCATTTTAAGAGAGACCACGGATAGCAGTCAGGGCAATAAGTTTTAACAATATAAAATCTTTACAGGGAGAAAAAATAGCTCAAAAGGGCTTTGGCATAAGCATGGGCAATGATAAATGACAAGTTAGCTCATTACATAGTTTTATAGCTGATGCGTTGTGCTCACATGTAAACGTACCATCCAGCTCTGCTGAATGCACAAGAGGGCAAAACAGTGAATGGATATATAAAAGTTGAATCACAATGAAAAGATAAAGGTACTGTTCCTTGAACTTAAGTTGAGCTTTATTAGAATACTGTAACAGGCCATTGATAATCAAAATTAACATGTGAGCAAGTACAGAATTAAAACGACAAGCAACAGGAAGCTCAGGGTCTTGGATGCAAACTGTGTGAAAAAGTGTTCTGTAAAGCGGTTGCACAGTCTGTTTGCTCTCTCTAGTGCAGAATAGACTCAACTATGAATAGAAATACAATATACTAAATTGAAAGAAAGTGACCATTTCACCTGGAGTGTTTGTAGCCTTGGACAGTGAAAAAAGGTGAAAGGGCAGATTCTGCAGCTCCCATGCTTTCATGGAAAGATACCTTTGAGAAGAGAAGAGAAGGGACACTAGGCCTGACTGTGCTGTGGAGGGAGCAGTTCCTATGGAATTCTCAAAGATGGAGAAAAGGAAGATGTAGTTGGTGGTTGCATCATGCTGGAGCTGGCGATCCATTGAATACAGAAGGTGGTATGTGGAAGATGAAGGGAAGGGGAACCTGATCTGGGATAGAAGGGCAGGGGTGAGAGCAGTGATGTGTGAAATGGATTAGACATTTTGGAGAGATAGATAAATATTTATTCAGTGGATTAAATCAGAAGAATTAGATTAAAATTCAATTTCATGTCCAGGCTCCCTAGTGATCATTTGAACACTAACATTGACCATTCAATTGACAAAGATTTCCTCTTCCATCATGATTAGGAATCATTGGAAACATGACTTAAAATGTCAGAATAAGATGATACCTGATAGTACGAACATAAATAATTAATTCACTTTTAAAATGTACATGTAATAACAATTACATCTTTCTTAAAAGGTTGTAGGCGTGGGCGTAGGTGGGATGGTGATTATTTTTACATTTCCTCTTTAGTGCAATGGGCATTATCTCTGGAAATTAAAAGTTGCAACTTGAAGACATTATTTAAATACAACTTTCTCAGAGAAAGATCAAACTATATATGGAGTAATAATATAAGCTTTGTTGCTCAGTTAAAAAGCAAATTTAGAATTAAAATTTGAGGCAACCTATTTTGCTTTAACTGTTGGATTAATACTGGGCAAAACAAACATTGCTTTGAGAAAAGCAAAAAGCACAAATATTGCATTTTGAAAGATGAAATACATCGAAAAACAAGAAGTGCTGGAAACACAGGAATACAGGATCAAGTTGTTTAAAATAATACACAGCTAACAGAAGAAAAATACACAGAGCGTACACACTTGCTGTGCTTTGAAAAAGACTTAATGCAAAAACAATGCAAACACACCCCTCCCACCCTTAGCTTCTTGGGTATACTTACTCAGATCTTCGCCGGCCTTCCATACCATCAGGCATAAAGAGCTTGACTGTCGATACTATGCACCCATGAGTAACTAAAAACAAACATTTAAAAATCAGTACAGTAATAGAGAATGGAGTACCAAAACATAAATAAAGAAATAAAATGTACTACTCATACGGGAATTCTTTGATATTGCAAATTAAAATTGGCAGTTGAAGTGACTTTGTCTAAACAGACAGATACTTGCTATCGACACAAAGTTGAAATTAGGTAACACTTATTTCCTCTTTATTACATTGCATTAGCTACAGAGAATGGTCATTTTTCTTCCTTCCTGTCACTGAAGGATTGCAGTTACTTTTAGAACAGGGGAGGAAAGAGTAAAAAGGAGGTAATAAAAGATTCTCAAGAACTTTGCAGAAAGAAAAGAATCTAATACTGAGTTCAGAGGTCAGGTGGAAGGAGGGGGGTTTATGATTTAGTCCAGGAGATGTAAATCTTGGTTAGAAAAAAAATGTTTTAAGAAGAACTTGAATTCTGTGATACTAAATGACTATGATTCCCAGAATGGAAAGAGGCAGAGGGCTTTCAAAAAAGGGAATATGCAAAACAAATGGCCAGGACAGGTGGATCTAAGGTTATTTCTTGGTCATGGGACTGAAGGAGATCATAAGCATTCAGTGGGATGGCTAGGGAACAAGTCAAGCATTATGGATCAACTTAAAGAGAATGATTAAACTGTTAAATTTAATGTCTACATTGTTTCTCTTCTCTTGAAGACCAGTAAGGAAAGCGGTGATGGGTATCCATAACAGTGCAAGATAAAATAGTGCCATATGGAGAAAAAGAGTGGAGAATGAAGGATGAGAGTTTGTAAGTAGATTATTTATGTAGAATGTAGCAGTAGCAAAAGTATAGATTTACAGACTTGGTGGGAATAGACGTGAAATATTAGTGCAGGTTGAGGCAAACTGTTCCAGTAATTACTAGAAATAGAGATTAAAACTCACTTTGCTTAGAATCTGATGCCAAAACTTTACACCATTTAATTCCGCCTGGGCCTGGTAAACAGCTGGCGATCAAAACGGATTGAATGGTAAGGGAGCCGGAGCTGCTCAGAAAATGTCCTGGTCACCTAACAATCCCATCCTTTCCGATCACGCCAGAACATCTCTGGTTTTAATGTTATCAACATTATGGCTGTGTCTTTAGCTGCCAAGGCTACAATGTATGGAACACCCTTCATTAACTTTCTGCCTCTAACTCTCTTTCAGGATATTCCCCAGAATCAAATCTTTTCACCAAACGTTTGTCACCTGCCCTAACATCTCCCTCTTAGGTCAAGTGTCAGATTTTAATTCACAACACTCCTTTGAAGCGGCTTGTGAAACTGTATTAGCAGTGCTGAGTAAAATAAAGTATGCTGCTGTTTTAATGGTGGAGGAAGACACAAATATTGTTGGTCTTAATGTTCAAAGGAGGATATTTTATTTACTGATCAATTAGTCAGTCAGGAGCATGACAGCAAAAACTGGCAACTGCACAGATAGTTTCAATTTATATTCACACATTGATTTGGAGATCATTTAATATCAATTCCAATCTGCAGTGAGGACGGCTGTGATCTCCAAGTTCCATCTTCTTTTCATCCTGTAGTTTACTGTGGTCAGCCAATAGTCTATTGTGCTAGGGGTCACAACCTTGCATCCCAGCATTCTCAGAGTCCAGGAAAAGGTTCAGGGAGCCTGCAAATTGCTTTGTCTAATCACTAATCTTCCTGTGTAGGGAGACGATTGGAATTGTCTCAGATACAAAGACTTTGGATATGCAGGATTTTCCATTGGTGGATTCCACTTGCAACATAAATCAGCTAGTATCGCTACGTATTATTGGCATCGACAGATTTCTCTTAGTAAGCTTATCTTAAGCTGGTTTCTACTTTCATATATGTAATGCACCTACTTCTTTAAGCTAGTCAATGATACAGAGTAAGTTAGAACATCGTGAAATCCAAATTAAAGTGGCGTCAGTCAGTCAACCAGTGTTGCTAATGGGGAGGTACAGATCCTGGAACTTGAACTCAGTCTGACCAAGTCTGTATTACTCGTCCAATTACTTTTGTTATCCAGTTCAATTCCAAAGGACGAAGACGTCTTTGGTGGGAAGTCCAAAGTTTTAAAAACATAAATTCATTACAAGACTGTCAAAATTAAGGAAATATGAAGATGTGGATTGAATTTTGGCATTTTTTAATGACAGAAGATATACTTCAACTGCAGTGTATTATTCCTGCACAAATATTGTCCAATTAATCTTGGAATTAGAGTGGTTTAACTTATCAAGTATGCAACCCTGTGCCATCTAAATCAAAAAGGAAATTTTTAGAAAGTACAAAGTCAGGAAACTGGAAAAAAACAGTCAGATGACTATCAAGCAGACTGATTTGAGGTCAGAAGATAGTTTTGCAATGCGCTGTCACATATTTAAATGATAATGACTTTGAATCCACAAACATTTAATATGTTCCATTTGCTCACCTGTGTTTGGCATGTAGGAAATAGGAAAAAAAAAAGACATTTCAGTTTGCAAAGTGGTGAAGACAACACAATGTCAGGCAACATTTTTGAAGTGTTGAACAATCAGAAATGAGCTAGACAAATTGCATTGCAATTTGGAAGGAATAGGTTGCAGCACTGACTACAATGCATTCTGGTATGGTGCCAAAAAAAAAAAAGCCACACCTTATGTTGCTTGGACACACTGTTTTTCAACCAGGATGTAACAGTTGAGAAATATATTGAACCAGGTCTTTGCAATGCACTCAACACTGTGTTAATGATCCTAATCACACTGTTCAGAGTTGTCATCTTGCACCTCTGGAGAACTTGGGATTTGAACAAGTCTCCTGGTCCAGAGGTAGGGACGCTACTACTGCGCCACAAGAGCCCTAATTAATCCTAATTTTAGCAAATACTCAGCAATGAATGCCAGCATTTTTTTTTCCACTTTGTGAAGAAGCAAGTGCAGAGTGCAATTCCATGTCCAAGATGGCTAGCCAGAAGCAGTATACTTGTCATATATTTCCTTCTGGGGGAAAGAGACTTCTTTTGGTAATAAAATTAAACCGAATGTGTCAAAAAGTAAAGAATGGTGTGTAATGAAGTTAACTTGCATATGTATGTTCTTCGAAATAAACACATCAAATAAATCTGTGCAAGGTCAGGCAACTTTTGTTTTGTTCCTGGTGTGAAAGAATTGATGCATTCAAAAGTAAACTGCAAGTCTGGAAAGTTCTTGCCTTGACTGGGTGGGCGATTGTGTACACACTGTGTTCCTCCATTATTTTATTCAAAGAAATAAATATTGACTTTGATATAATCACAGCTCATCTTTTTGGTCTCTCCGACAAATGGAAAACTTACTTTTTCCCCAGAAGTCAGCAGGGAAATATGTGCTGAACACCACTGAGGTGCAAAGCATTTTGGGGCGAATAAAAAACTAAACTGTTACCTTCCAACCCATCAAAACCTTTAAAAGCAGCCCACTGGCAATTCATTGGACAGCTCCCTGAAAATTAAGTCCAGTGAAATGCTACAGGACACATTCTGATGTGAAACTGCTAATGATTTTAGCTTTGCTACTTCTGCAGCAAAAAGTGTATTACTTCCTTAGTGTGAAAAAGTAGAAGTATGTTCTTAGATGTATTCCAACTTTATACGGAAAAACAGCATGTTACGGAGGTCCGCAGGAACAAAAAACCGAAGCCTTATGGCTCATAATCTAATATCAGTGAGTGAGTGAGAGAGAAAGAAAGAATGGGACAGAGTGAGAAACAGAGCAAGAAAGTAAGATGGTTTACACAAGTGAATGCGTGCTCTTGCAAGAATGAGCCCATCTGGAAGCAGAAGAGTGATCAGGGGAGTCCAGGAGAAAGCACAGAGGAATGCAATGTAGCACGGGGAGTGAAAGGGAGCGTGGGACAGTGAGAACATGTAGGAGATGGGGTAAGACAGACAATGAGAGGGAGGGTGTCAGAGTGATTGAGTGAAAGAATAAGAATAAGCGAGTTAGAGGGATGGAGCATGTATGTATGTGGGGGAGTGAGTGAGCAGATGGGAGAATGAGAGAGACAGGGAGGGAGGGAGATGGAGCAAGTTAGAGAAGGTGTGCGCAGGAGTGTGAGTGAATGTCTGTGTGTGTGGGTAAGATTGGGTGAGACACTGAAAGAGAGAGAGAACATGTGCAAGTGTTGAATCGGGGTAGAGAGAGAAAGTGAGTGCAGAGGCAGGGAAGAATGCATGCATGTGTATATGAAGGGGAATCAGAGTTGACAGTGTGTGTAGGAGTGACAGCAAGTGATTGTGTGAGAGGGAGAAGGACAGTAAATGAACACGTGAAGGTTGGAGTTAGAATGAATGCATGCTTGTGTGAAGGAATTAGAGCAAGAATGTGTATGGGAGTGAGATTCTGTGTGTATGTGTGGGAGTCAGTGAGAGAGCAGAAGAGCCTGAGTGGGTGAAATCATGACAGAGTCTAAGAGTGGGAATGAGAACAAGTATGAAGAGTGATCATGTATGTGTGAGTGAGAGAAAGCATGCAAGAGTGAGTTTATGTTGAAGTGAAAGTGAGCGTGTGAGATCTGTGCACAGAAATGGGAGTGAAAGTGTGGTGAGTGAGAGAGATTGCATCTGGGAGATTGAAACTGAGTGTGGGAGAATGAGTATGAGAGCGAGTGCTTGTGTATGTACGTATGAGAAGGCGAATAGAGATTTATAAAACCACGAGGAGCATGGATAGGGTAAATAGGCAAGGTCTTTTCCCTGGGGTGGGGGAGTACAAAACTATAGGGCATTGGTTTAAGGTGACAAGAGGAAAATATAAAAGGGACCTAACGGGCAACTCTTTCACGCAGAAGTTTGTGCGTGTATGGAAATGAGCTGCCAGAGGAAGTGGTGAAGGCCGATTCAAATGTCGTAATTGTAAGGCATCTGAACAGGTATATGAATGGGAAAGGTTTAGAGGGATATGGGCCAAATGCTGGCAAATGGGATTAGATTAATTTAGGACATCTGGTCAGCCTGGACAAATTGG